CGTCGGCAGTTAGCGTTCCCAAGAAGTAGTCGTCGTCTGGGTCGTCGGGCGGTGGTTGGTCGGCAGGCGCACGAGAGAGACAGTCGGCGTCAAAGTGTTTGTTGCCGGACTTGTAAACGACGGTAATGTCGGATTCTTGAAGTCTCAGGCTCCATCGTGCGAGGCAAACTGAAGGGTCCTTCAAGGTAGCTAGCCAACACAAGGCGTGGTTGTCGCTCACAACTTTTAAGGGCCTGCCGTAGAGATAGGGGCGAAATTTCGACGTAGCCCAGATTATGGCGAGGCACTCCTTTTCTGTTGTGGAATAATTGGCTTCTGCTTTGAATGACGATCGGCTGGCGTAACTAATTACCCTTTTCAGTCCGTCAGCCCTTTGCACAAGAACGGCACCGAGACCTACGCTGCTTGCGTCGGTGTGTATTTCTGTCTCAGCGAATTCGTCGAAATAGGCAAGTCACGGAGGCATCTGGAGATGATGTTTTAGCTCCTGGAAAGTGTGTTCCTGCGGCGTTCCCCACTTGAACTCCACGTCGGCCCAGGTAAGGTTTGTAAGTGGATCGGCGATGCGGGTGAAGTTTTTGATGAAACGCCTATAATAGGCGCACAGGCCCAGAAATCGGCGCATTGCCTTTTTGTCAGGTGGCGGCGGGAAGTCGGCGATGGCGGCTGTTTTCCGCCGATCGGGACGGACTCCAAACTTGCTAATCACGTGCCCCAGGAACAAGAGCTCCTCGTACGCAAATCTGCACTTTTGTGGCTTCAGGGTGAGTCTGGACATCTTGATGGCTTGAAGTACAGCTTCAAGGCGCCGAAAATGCCCGTCAAAACTTGAGGAAAACACAACAACATCGTCCAAGTACACGAGGCAAGTCTGCCACTTCAATCCTGCCAGTACTGTATCCATAACGCGTTGAAAAGTGGCAGGCACTGAGCAAAGACCGAAGGGCATCACTTTAAACTTGAAGAGGCTGTCCGGTGTTATAAACGCCGTCTTGCCTCGCTCTCTTTCGTCGACTTCGATTTGCCAATAGCCAGTCTTGAGGTCCATTGACGAAAAGTACTTGGCGTTATGGAGCCGATCTAGTGCGTCGTCTATTCGTGGGAGAGAATACATGTCTTTTTTTGTGGTTATGTTCAGCCGGCGATAATCGACACAGAAACGTAGGGTTCCATTCTTTTTCTTCACTAACACCACGGGGGACGCCCATGGACTCTTGGACGGCTGGATGATGTCCCGTAGCATTTCATCAACTTGTGTCTTTACGGCTTCGCATTCCCACGTCGACACTCTTTACGGACCCTGACGGAGTAGTCTGGCATTTTCCTCAATTACGATGCTATGTGTCATGATTGGCATCTGCCGAATTTTCGACGACGACAAAAAGCAATCTTCGTATTGCAGGAGCAGGGTCTTGAGCTGTTCTTGCTTATGGATCGAAAGGCTGGGATTGACGTCGAAGGCTGAGCGAGGGGCTTGGTTTCAGGTACGCCGTGCAGTGTTGCCGTGGTCTATGCAATAGTTGAAATCAAGAAAAAGAAATGGACATGAGCCGGACATGTATCACGTAGGCAGGATAATCAACGGTCATTAAGGGTAACGAACTGGATTCCCAGAGTAGGCAAATGCATCAAGGGGAGACAGAAAGTTAGGTGGGTTGATGAGATTAAAAAGTTTGCGGGTATAACGTGGCAACGGAAAGCACAAGACTAGGTTGATTGGCGGATCATAGGAGAGGCGTGTGCCCTGTAGTGGGCGTAGTCAGGCTGATAATAATGATGATAATAATATTAACCTAAGTAGGTTCTTTCATGGCTTAGCACCGCTTCACTCTAGTGAAATCACTTTACAGGGTGTCACGTGCAGATTATTATGCATCTATTTGTTGATTTTGAATAATTTGAAATTTTTGATAATATAGTTGCTATTTGAAGCAAATTTGAATACTCCATTATTCATTTGAATATTTGAAGCGTTTGAATTTTGGCACCAGCCTAGTAGCATTCTAACATTCACACAAGCCTAGTGATAAGACCTTTATGGCCTCCTGGCAAAGGCTTTAGCCCTGGCTCCGCATAGACGTCACTCGTGGGTCAGCACACCCGACAAAGATTGCCAGCTACCTTGGGTGCTCATAGCAATGATGTTGGCTGGACAGAACTTGCTTCACCACAACCTTTGCATGTCCTGTTGTTGAGCTTGGTGGTGAGTGAACAGCATTGTTTCTGAGCAATATACACATTTATTAGAAACATTTAACCCTTCCAAAAACATGTCATCCTCTGAAAAGGGGCACACCAATTCAACTTGTGAATTCCTCTTGACGAAAAAACACCTTCCTACAATGTTACGTGACTGACTCTGGAAAATACTAGAAAAACAAAAGCTCGTAACATTTCGCCATTTCTAGTGTCAAAGTGCCGCACGTAGACCATCGGTTAGAAGGAGAGAAGTTTGTTGTGACAAGAAAAAAAAAAAAAAAGGTGGAGAGGTAAGCTTGAATCAGTTTTTCTGTGAGGCACCATTGGCCAGCGGTGATTTCTATGTCGAAATGAAAGATAAGTCCCACGATACTTAAGCACAATAAATGAAGACACAGGCGAAGAGCAGGGATATAAGATGAATGCTAATTTCTAACTAAAATTTATTCTCGGAATTCACATCTATTTATCACACAGCAATTATTACAACATGACACCAAAGAGAGGACTTCTCATTTCACTCCTACAACAATAAGGAATAACAAAATTCTACAACATCCTAATTGGCTCTTACAATGACACAAATAAATAGCGACACAGTTGCAATGCACCGAAAATTAAAAACTCGCAATTACAACAACACACCCTTAGATGGTGTCATGAGGTTAGCTGTTACCCCTGTCCTTCAATACCAGTCACGAAACTGGAAACTTGGTGCCAAGTTGGGTGTAGCGACGGAACCTCCCACCAGGGGCAGTAGACAAGGGAGCTCTTCGGAGCCACTTAAACGGCATGCTTTTGGTGCGTTAACGACGTTCCAAGGTAGAGATTCGCTCTTAATGGTGTCACGGGCATATTTCAGTGAGGTTTTATAGTGTGGTCCACCATCACTTACAGGCAGCATACCTGTGCATAATGGCCATAAATGTCTGTTCAGTTCTGGCAGTGTTTCGTTTCTTTCGATTGTGATGAAATCAACTTGCAGCCCTGCAATGCATACTGATTTAGCAAACATTGTTGGGCCAGGATTTCAACTCAGTCGCATTTCAAGTCGAGTTTTCGGCTTCTAAAGAGCTTGCAGGGCTCTGTGCGTGTATAGGCGACCGCCAAAATAGGGTACATGTATGCGGAAAAAGGCATGCGAGTTCATATACGCCGTGCAGTGTTGCCATGGTCTATATGATTCCCTTGTCATATGGAAAGAGCTACGTAGGACAGACCGGAAGATGTGTGAACGTGTGCATGCATGAACATGAAATTAATACAAGTGGGCACCTTCCCATGATGCTGAAAGATGTCAAGCTATTGAACTGCTGCCCTTATAATACAGCCAGAAAAATTTGCGAAGCGTACTACATAAGGAAGAATGAACGTGAGTGTGTCAGTGGGTCATCGGTGTTTTTTTCATAACGCCCAGATGAGATTTATCGATGAAAAGTGTTTAGGTGACATCTTATGATTGGTAAGCTTTTTGTGATGGTACCTTACTGAAAAGCACATAGTGGTGATGGTTTCTGCGAAACATACTTACAGGTTGACTGTGTGAAATGAAGGTTAGTTGCAAGTCTGCGCCTGTGTCTGTCTGGTTTGTATGTATGTAGCACAGTTATCCCCTCTGTATTGAGATAGGAAGGCTGTGTAAGGGGCTACCCTTCATTTTTTGAAAATTGGGAGGTGAGGACGTTTTGTCACCTTTCACTTGCAAAAACCACATGTACCATAAACTCCTTGTTAATGTTGCTGCACTGCAATGCATGTCTTGTGTGTGGCAGTGAAATCTATGCATGACTTGAGACCAAATAATTTTTAGGCAAAAAAAATACTATGGAGAAAGTGAGAACAGTATACATCCAGTTTGTCGTCTTCACCTTGTCCATTTATGGTCTTATCAGTTGTGTGTAGGGTGAATTTGCGCTAGCTAGCCTAATTCGAATCTCTAATCCTGCATGTGACATTATTTTGTGCAGATTGACTGATTGCCGGGTTGGTACGAAGATATTTTATACTAGGGGGGAGCGTGGCAGCCACGACAAGTGGTTTTCCAGGGGTGTGGTAGGGACATGGCATCCAAACTAGGCATACTGCCTAGTTTTTTTCTGCAATAGTTGGGAAATCGTGAAATTTTTTCTGGGGAGGCAACCAATCTGTGTACGCCCTGCCTTATTTTTTTTTTTTTTTTTGTATTAGTGCCTCAAATGCTGCAGACAGGAGTTTTACGTGAGGGATTGGCTGTTATGTAATGACAATGGCTCGATGAACAGCTTGAAGGCTAGCAGGTTGGGTTGGAGCACAGCATTCCTTCGTAGTGGGTTCCAGATTCTTGATGTGCTTATCTACTAGGTGTGCAGTAGTCTGTGCCGCGAGTGGGCAGACCGCTTTAGTGTGATTCGTGTGGCGGGACAGACGGTGAGCAAACAAGATTAATGATGTGCAGGAAGAAGAATGATAAAACTTGTCAAAAAGGCACAACCGACATCTAAAGTGTCTTAGTTCCAAGTTATCAAGATATTCTTTCGATTTTAGTTTTAGTTTTTGATGGCTGCTGCTTGACGACAGTGGTTCTTATGTTCTTGTTCACATTAGAGCAGCATTTTTGTGTGACTTGCCACTGTAATACACTAGCTTATTAAAAAGAGACTATCAAAACCTGCTCCAAAACCTAAATTTTCCAACTTGATACTTGCTTCAAAACAGCTTTCCTGCTGCTCCTAAAGTATCTCTGAATCTTAATATGTTTGCACCACCACTGACTAGGTAATTGAAGCTGAGGACATATTTCTCTCCTTGTCTGTGTTTTTCAGCTACTTCTGCCAGTTGCTGGATGGGCTGGAGTACCTGCACAGCCAGGGCATTGTCCACAAGGACATCAAGCCAGGCAACCTACTGCTCACAAACTGTGAGACTCTCAAGATCTCCGACTTGGGTGTTGCTGAGGTGAGCATGAGCTAGTGCGCAGAGATTCATCTCAATTCTCTGTTTTTTAATGATGTTCCCCCATTTAGGAATAGAACAGGAATAGACACTTTGGCAGCAGCAGCGGATCTGCGCACAGCCTACTGAACCATTGCATATTGTTTTTACAGCGCATGTCGTCGGTGCACTGCCCCGTGTCAAGGGAAATACGGTGGTCAGCTCGGAGCATCTCCGGGTGTACTGAACCACACTTTGGCAGCAGCAGCGGATCTGCGCACAGCCTACTGAACCATTGCATATTGTTTTTACAGGTACTAAAGTTCTTCACTGCTGTTGCTGTGGGTTCTTGACGGAACGTCCCAGCTGCTTTGGAGGTTGACATCGCTTTTCATCGCTGCGTGTGCTTTTTTCAACGTGCAGCGCATGTCGTCGGTGCACTGCCCCGTGTCAAGGGAAATACGGTGGTCATCGTGGGAGTGACTGCTGACCTTTCAAATAGCCTCGACGCATCGCCCCGTATCATATCAGGGCACGGCTGTGATCATCGTGGTCGTGTTTTGTTGTGCCCCGCTGTGAGCGCCACCTGGATAGCTGTTCAGCTCGGAGCATCTCCGGGTGTACTGAACCACACTTTGGCAGCAGCAGCGGATCTGCGCACAGCCTACTGAACCATTGCATATTGTTTTTACAGGTCAGTACTATCGTTGTTTCTTTCCTTAGTGTTCTGTTGCTTTCTGCTGCTGCTGCTGCTGCTGCTGCCATAGTGTTTTTAGTGTTTTTTGATGTCGCCAGCCGAAATGGAAAAAACATTTTAAAGAGTTGAAACAAGAGTTTCGCGAAATGCGGACTGCCCTGGAGAGAGAGCTGCGTAAGGAAATACGTGATGTGAAAACAAGTCTAGACTTTTTTAATAAGCAGTTTGAAGAAATTTCGGCTCTGTGCTCGCGGCTTGAAAAAGAAAACGGTGAGCTAAAGGCTCAAAATGATGTTCTGAAGACTGATTGCAGTCAGCTGAAGCAGGTCGTTCTCAACAATGAACGTAGGACTACCGCCCTAGAACAGTACTCGCGAAACCGAAATATTGAAGTGAAAAATGTTCCTTTCGTGGAGGGTGAACGGTTGACCAGGGTCGTTCAGAAGATTGGTGAAGCTGTCGGCGAATCAGTGAAAGAAGATGACATAGAAATTTGCCATCGCGTGACTGCTAAGGATGCATCTTGCCCTCATATTGTTGTGCAGTTCAACAACCGGTCTAAGCGAGACGCAGTTCTGGAAAAGGCGAAAAAGTTGCGCTTAACGACAGCTGACATTGGTTTCCCAGGAAAGACATTTGTCTACGTCAATGAACACCTATGCTCACAGTTAAAAAAACTACTGGGACAAACTGTAGCGCGCAAGAAGGAAGCCGAATGGCGATTTGCCTGGACGAAAGGCGGCAAAATTTTTGCGCGAAAGGATGAGAAGTCGAGGGTGCTTCAGATAACTACTGAGAGCGATCTCGAAAAGATTGTTTAAATTTGTTGAGCTTCATCCTTTAGCAAAAAAAAAGCTAGAAGAAAAACATGGCAAAAAGAAAATGGCTGCAGACTGCTTAACGCCACACCAGTTGAGCCTATTGGTATCTGGTAGAAAACACCACATTTCCTACCTTCATATAAATGCGCAATCAGCCAGAAACAAGGCAGATGAGATAGCAATACTGCTTGAATCGTTTGAGTTCTCCTTTGACGTCATCATGGTTACTGAAACCTGGTATCGCCATGAATCCGACGTTCTTCGTATACCTAGCTATGCCACGTATTTCTTGAACCGCAGTGATAAATTAGGTGGTGGTGTTATGCTCCTGGTCAAAGATGTGTTTGAGTGTGAAATACTCGAGGCTTTTTCTGTGGTTACTGACGATTACGAGATTATGACTGTAAAATGTTCTTCGGGTATTTTTTCTGTGGTATACCGCCCCCCCAAATGTAACATGTGCAACTTTTTTACGTTTTTAGACACTTTCCTGTCGTGGGTCAATGAAAATGGTTACAATCTTACTATCGGGGGTGACCTAAACATTGATATGCTAACTTCCAGCCCCCAACGTCTTGAACTTTGCAATATCATGGAATCAAACGCATTTAAAAATGTTATAAAACACCCCACTCGATTCATGCCCAATCCTGCACACTTATCGACGTCATTATAACAAATAGCACAAGTGCACCTCTTTGCTCGGGTGTCCTTAAGACACATATTAGCGACCATTTGCCTGTTTACTCAATTTTAAGTCAAAAGAAGCTTCAACTTAGGGATGCAAAGCCACCGCCTACCCCATTCCGGTACATATGTCCTAGCACAATTGATATGTTCGCTGCATATATATCCAAGATAAAATGGGACGCTGTTTTCCGTGAAACTGATGCAGACACAGCGTATAATGTTTTCATCGAACGTTTTAGTGAAGCCTACAACAAGTGCTTTCCGCTCAAAGCAAAACGCAGACCACGCAAGGCAAGAAAGCCTTGGATTACTTCGGAATGCCTTCAAGCTATAAAAGTAAAAAATGCACTTTACCAGAAATTTCTAATATCTAGAGACAAAGAAGACTTGAAGACATTTAGAAAACATAGAAATACTACAAACTCCTTATTAAGGAAAAGCAAACTTGAATATTTTAGCAACCTTTTCAGCCCTGAAAAAACCAAAACGTCCGAAGCCATCTGGAAAAAGTTAAACATGTTGCTCCACCCACACTCGGATGATAGCACATACCCGACTAAACTCATTGTAGACAACCGCGTTCTAACTGGTGATGACCTTGCTGAAGCTTTCAATAAATTCTTTACCTCTATTGGAGAGAGCTCGCACGACAATAATTTTGCGCGATTCATGGGTTCGCAAGTAGGCGAAAGTGCATTTCTATTTCCAGTGACTACACAGGAGGTTACGGCAGATTTCATGTCACTAAAGAATAGCAGGTGTTGTGACGTAGACGGCCTGGAAATCCGTCCAGTTAAGCATGTTATTCATGTCATATCTCCTATTTTAGAATACATCATTAACTTAATCTTCTCATTGGGCACGTTTCCTAGTCGTCTTCAGATAGCCAAAGTTTCTATTATTTTCAAAGGTGGTGACAAAAATAGCATGACCAATTACAGACCAATTTCTATTTTACCTGTATTTTCTAAAGTAATTGAAAAGTTGTTACATAAACGAATAGTGTCATTCTTAACCAAGCACCACATTATGACGCCTTTTCAATTTGGTTTCACAAAGCAGCGCTCAACAGAAACTGCCCTACTAATGCAAAAGAAATCATACTCGATGCATTTGAAAAGGAAATATATACACTTGGAATTTTTGTAGATTTCTCAAAAGCATTTGACAGAATCAACCACATTACATTAATTAAAAAACTAGAACACTACGGTTTTCGGGGGAACTTTATAAGTGTCATAAAAACCTATTTGAAATACCGACAGCAAAAAGTAGATATAAATGGCTACGCATCTAGTTTTAAAAAACTGTCACATGGCGTGCCCCAAGGAAGTATTCTGGGTCCCCTGCTTTTTAATCTGTATGTGAACGACTTGACAAACATCGATAACAATACAACATTTATTATTTATGCAGATGATACCAGCTTATTTTTTAAAGACTGCGATTTGCATAAACTAGTTGACAAAGCAAATAGTGTCTTGAAACTGCTGCACATTTGGAGCATAAGAAATTCGCTAATTATAAACACCTCAAAAACAAAATCTGTGCTCTTTCGTCCAATAAATAAGCCCGTAAACTGCGATTTATCATTAGTGATTGGCTCAGAATCTATAAGGATTGAACCGATAGTGAAAACTCTGGGAGTTTTTTTCCACGAAAACATGCTATGGAAGGATCAGGCTGAGTTTGTCCATGCTAAACTTTCTCGTACTGTAGGTATCTTATCGCGCTTACGTTTTCTCTTGCCACAAAAATTAAACTCTTACTATATAATTCGCTATTTTTATCTACATTAAGCTATTGCTATCTAGTATGGGGCACCACATCGGAAAAGAACTTAGGCCGAATATATAGATTACAGAAAAAGGCTGTGCGCATAATTACAGGTGTTCCTCGCGATGAACATTCCAAACCCATTTTCGAAGCCCTTAATTTACAACCAATGCCTGAGATATACAATACAATTTTAATGAAGCGATATCGTACTTCCTTAAAGAATCACGACTCTTTTCTTACTGATTTAGCGCGTTTGACACCCTATACCTGCCCCTATAGCACACGAGCTACCGATGACTGGAAAATTCCTTACACACGTACTAACTATGGTCGCCAGATGATGAGCTACTTACTGCCACTAACCTTAAACAGTTTCTTACAATAAACCATTTATACTGCTCCGTTCTGTAAATGTTTTCAACGTGTTAATAAAATGCAAATCGGCATGACCTTGAAGTACATGTTTTGATATTGTATAATAACTGATGATCTCATGCTGCTGTTGCTGTTGCTATGTTGTCAAATGGTGCGAAAGCCTTCGTCAAGCCTTAATGGCTTTTTGCTTTCGCCCCACAGCATCACTGTTGTGACTTTTGTAATGTCTCCTGTGATGTCGGAATAAACTGAATTGAAACAGTGTGTGCAGTGACAAAAGCCTGTGAGAAATTTCATGTGTAGCATCATGCTGGGCCTCGCAACCCTATACCTGAGAATGTCGGTGCCTGACAGGCATTGCCTAGGATCATAAAAACTTCATGAGCTGTTGAGACACCGTCCTTGTAAATGTCGAGTGTTGGGGGTGGTGCTGTCACCCCCTGTGGATTTGCTTTCGCCTCATGACAATGGTTGGCATAGTTGTTGTTTTCACCACTGTGCAAGGAATAGCGCTGCTGTCAGGGTGGTGCCACCCTGTCAATGAGGTTAGGTGGACAGCCATGGTGAGCCAACTGTCGGCGATGCTGCAATTATGGTGCATGTAGGGGTATTCTACTTCGTATTTTGTCATGTTAAGGTGGAGCTAGAAACAGTGTTCTTGC